CCGAAGTACCCGAACTGACTTGGCCTGCTGAGGTGGTAGGAAATGCTAAGTCGTCGTCTAGTCATTAGATCGTTCCACGTGTCTGCATGCTAACAAGTCAAGCCAAATTACCCCTCATCAACACTTAAGTTGGGTATGAGGGCCTGATAATGCCCTCTATTAATGTTTTATATTCTATATTTTAAAATAAAAATAAAGCTTAAAAAAGTAAATAAAGATAATTTGGATTATCTAGTCGATGGAAAAAAGTCAAAAACCCATCTCTGTGAAAAATAAATAGAGAAAACTTAAGATTAGAAAAATAACCTAATGTTAAGTCTCAAACCATTATTAAACGCCATATCTATCAACAAAAAAAAAAAAACAGAGAAATAACAGCTCTCAAACTCAAGCATTTCACTGGATACTCCTTTAGCCCTAACAATGAGCTCATCATCATTTGTTAATGGAAGTGATTTATTGCTTTGGTCGGACCCCAAACTGAAGAATACCTGTAAATTGTCCTTGACTAAAGCTAAAAAAATTAGTTTTAAACAAAGGTTGAAGACAAAAACACAAGCCTATTTGCATATGCCTTCTGCTCTTGATTGAAGATTAGAGAAAAAAAACAATCTTTCTTTGTAAAACTTCTGTTATGAAGTTGTAATCATTAATGGCTTTTGCCCCTAGCTAAAGCTTGAAGAAGAAAGAGAACTCTACAATCATTGATGGCATCCATCCAACTCTACAGTTTGATTGAGTTTCTCTTTTCCTTCGAGTCCAAACTCTTGAAGACTCGATATAGGTTTCCTTTTTATTTCACATTTTATAGTGTGGATGAGAATTGGTGGGTGTGGACTAGTCCACACCACACCCTGTGGCAGGCACCAATCCACACCACACCATAGTTCACAGTTGTTCTGAACTGTGGGCAGACTATGTGGATTGGAGCAATCCACACCCACAGTGGCGTTTTGTAGGTGTGGTGTAGACAGTTTTTAATTCCATGTATCTCATATACATTTTATGAATGATCTACACAATCGATCATAAAATGTCTAATTTTTCCATTTTATATGATAAATGTATTGAAAAAAGGCATTAGTAAAGTAATATTAATCAATAAATATTAACTTTAATAAAAATGATAGTAAAATAATTAAAAAATAAACAATATTTTAAATATTTAAAAATATTATTTTGTTGATAAAAAATTTAAAATAAATTAAAAAATGAGCACCATCGGGCTTGTGCTAGAATTAACATTAAAAATATTAAAAAATTATTATTTTAAAATGAGAAATTGTCTAAAACTCACCATGAGTTTTCAACATTTCTTTAAACTCACCACAACTTTTTTCAAAAAGTCTAAAACTCACCATGTCAGTAAATTTTTATTTTCCAAAACTCACATTCCGTTAGTGCACTGTTAATTCCTCTTAATAGAGGTGTCCACATCAGCATAAATAACAATTTTCATGACCAAATTACCCTTGAATGGCGAGTTAGAGGAAAAAGGTCTTTTCAGTTTTCAATTTCTTCTCTTTTTGCATTTTTAGTGTTTTGTTATAATTTTCAATGTTTTTTATAATTTATGTTTTTTTTTTCATTTTCTATTTTCTATGATCTATAAATTTTCCTGTATTTTTTGTTATTTATTTGCAATTTTTGTGTTATTTTATAATTTTCGGTGTTTTTTCTACAATTTTTATTTTCTAATCTTGTTTTTCAATTTCTATAGTTTCTATAATTTGAAAATAATTTTTTATTTTGTTTTCAATTTCTATAATTTTTTATATTTTTTGTAGTTTTGTGTTTTTATGTTTTATATTTGAAAATATTTTTTGAACTTTTTTCCTTTTTTCATGTCTAAATATTAAAAAATATATATGTATATATTTTATATTTTTCTATGAAGGCTAAAATGATAACATATTAACACTGTTTGTTTGTTTAACGTCAAGTTAGTGACATAGTGAGTTTTAGACATTTTGAAAAGTTGTGGTGAGTTTAAGAGAAATGTTGAAAACTTTTGGTGAGTTTTAGACAATTTCCCTTTTAAAATTTAAAAACTAAAAAGAAAGAAAAGTATGTAGAAGAGATGTAATGTATCAAAATACAATGTGGAAATGTTGCGGACCGACCACATCCACGAGATATAAGTGTGGTTGAGATTTTGGGTTGTAGACGTAGACAGTCCACGATATATTGTAGACTAGTCCTGTCAACGACCAATAGAACAGTGAATTCATCCCGTGGCGTGGACCGAAATGGTCCATCCATGAGATGAACACACTACCGAATGCCACCTTAGTTTTTCTACACATGTAAACCAATTGCCCATGTGAATTGTATGATGTGTTCGACTATGAATGGAAGTGCCCCCTTGTCACGGGGCTAATGTGGTCACTTGTGACACCCTAGCACACACCATTCTAGTGCAGAAAATTCGGATAGACCACCAAAGTGCAATTTTCTTACCGATTTTGTCTATTTGCTATGTTAGCGTGAATGATACATCAGCAAAAATGAAATGCTTATGAAATGCTCCAGTGCCCAACACCTAATTAGAGTTCAGTCCACCTTAGGGGAATTTAGAGTCCTTCACCTATTTATTACTTTGGTCATTTCAACTTCCAAGGAATTAACATGGATGTGGTTCAAAAATCAATTAAAATGTATTTTCCAAGTAATTTCTTTGTACTTTAATATTTATAATTGTTATTTTTTAAATTAATAGTACAATATTATTATATTATATATTTTATGTGTATAGTTAACTTATGTAGGAAATACATTCTAATATTTAATATACATATTTATCTAATGAATTTGTGAAATTTATAAGAATTTTCTTAATGTATCCAAGCATTTTATCTTTCTACCATATACATGAATATACATATTTATATCTAAGCTCATAGATACAATATGCATACTAATATTTTGAACTTTGGTAGGAGGATTCGATTAATTGATACATAAAACTCAAATTAATAATTGTTTCATTTGAAAGCCAAAGAAAGTAAATTCCATTCAACAAAACGTCTCATTACATATCTTCACACATAAAACTCACCAAAAATTCTGGTATTGAATCAAGGTTACATCATGAGTCAATACTAAGGAAAGCTTATCAACTATGTGAATAGGATTAGGGGTGAACAAGAAAAACCCAAAAACTGATCAAAACCAAATAAAAAATCTGGTTAATCGAATCAACTGTTATACATATATTTATATATATTTCATGTATATTTAAGTATTATATATATATATATGTTTTATATATATTATATTAATAAATATACATTATATATATTTACAATATATAATTTATCATTTATTATTTAAAATATAATATTATATATATATATATATATTAGTTTTTTATTATATATTTATGTACTTTTTATAATATATATTGTAAATATAAAAAAACTTATGAACCGAACTGCTGGTTAATTGATCAACTTCGGTTGATTTAAGTTACCAATTTTTCAAAAACCGATAATACCGCTTTAATTAGCAGAACCATGAGCACCCCTAAATAGGATGATTTCCTAATAACCTCTAAACAAAAGAAACTTGAACTACGAAAGAAGGGCTCTGGAAACAGATATGATGCCGCAAATACACCAGGAAAGATCACTATCAACGTGAGATAGGTCTATATAGTCATACCTAGATCTTTGGCCCAAGAAATTCCTTCAAGTAGGTCGTTTGCTTCTGGCTTCAGTAGCCTCTTGTGCAGTTGTGCCAAACTCTGTATAAACTTTGAATAACAGCACCAACTAATGAGCAGGTTCGCCATGATGCCATGGATGACGTGGTATGTACATACCAAATGGTGATTCGGATGCACAGCTGCAATGGCTGGGACCAGATCCGGACTCCCAAATTATGTGTACTCTTTTTTGGAGTCTAGATCTGGTCCCAACAGCCATTGCAACCTGTGCAATGGGAAGAATATCCCACCAATATGTTTCCAATGTATGGATGCAATGCAATGAATATTTGGGACTGGTTGTTGGGAAAAGATCCGAACTCTCCTTTGCTGTATTAACAATTTATTTTATTGATCAAAAAACAATTTATTTATTTTTTTATATAGTATTCACATGACAAGTTATGGCACTGAACAGAGCAGTATGGTAAAACAGAATTCGTGCAGCCAACTCCATTTGGTTCCAAAAAAGTTTGTAGCACATTTGGACGCGAGTTTTCTAGATGTATATCTTAAATTATTTACTGTATCCATACGTTTTCAAAGCATATTTAAATTATCAAATACATTGTCTTTCCAATGCTCTTTGCAATGCCAATACTTTGAATCTTGGGCTTCATTTGTTTAAAGTGCATTCTCGGTATGGAAGTGCAAATGAGTTGGGCTCAGTTTGGAAGGAGTACAAATACAAATATGTAGAGTGCAAAACCATACATTTTGTAATATTTTATATATATTTGTACTGTACATATTTGTATTTATATTCTTTCCAAACTGAGCCTTGAAAGCAAATTTTGTTTTTTGTTTTAACTTTTACCTTACTTTTTTTTGTTTGCAATACAAATGAAGAAAAATTGAATCAGAATTCACACTTTTTTCATTTGCACACCCATGCATTTGTATTAGTGCAAATGAAATTACACTGCAAACATCCAGAGCCTTACAGATAAATCATGTTTCAATTTTGTTTTTACGTACAATGGAGAAACGGTATCGGGGTAGAACTCCGATATGTACTTCAGATTTAGATAATTATATAATCACGGGCCTAAAGCATATCAGAGGTAATATATTGTGAAAAGACCATGTTCTCTATTTGTCCAAAAAAGAGTTCCGTTCACCCTCCCCAATATCCATAATAAGAATAAATAATAGTAGTTAAAAAGTTGTAGATATCAACCATTATTTCTATTAAATAAAATTCTATAAAGGTCCCGGACAACCCTTAAAGTCGTATATGAAACTTCTATGATAATTGCATCAAACTATGCTATCAGATCCTTCCAAAGATCGATTTGCAGAGCAAGATTGATGGTAGTATTATTGTATCAAAAAATTTGAAAAAATTAAGCTCTTTGTTTATATCAGTAAGCACAAACACAAGCCCAAGAAGAAAGCTAGATAGCTCATTACAATTGCTTCACTCACCAAGTCTCCTTTTTCACCTTTTCTCCCTTGTATATACACTACATTCTTGACCTACCACCCTTTTTCCCTGTAATCTGCAATGCTTCATAATGGCCATATCCATGGTATAGGACTCTAATTGGATCATCCTTCCCATATTCTTGGCCATATTCAGCAATGGCTATCAGGCCACTAGCATCTTCATCATACATGTAGACTGTGATTGGCATCCTGCAACAAGCCAAACCCATGGGCCCTCATCAAGGTTAAAAATGTTGGTGTTGATGGAATGTTGTATGGAAATCTTGTGAAAATTATAGACATGGTGGAAACATTAAAAAATGAGGAAATAAACAATTATGTTCTATGAAAGGATAAAAGAACATGTGTACACCCTTTTAGATTATTATCTTGTCACAATATACAATGTTACATGGAAATCTTGTGAAAACTATAGGCATGGTGAAAACATTATAAAATATGAGGAAATATAACAATGATGTTTTATGAAATGATAAAAGAAGCATGCATACACCCTTTTAGATTGTTATCTCATCACAAGTCATCAAACAAAACCAAGAAATTAAGGTTAATAGACAAAATAATAAATTGTGAAGTTGTCCTGTAGACTTCCATAGTTAAAACTACATAATGAAGTAAGTTCAAACAAAATTTAGATTCAGAAAATGTGCAAATGATTCTAATAGTTCAACTAAATAATCTAAATTATCCAAAAAGAATTTGAAACTGGCTCAAAGTGGTCATCATCTCCATCAAGCAGGTGATAACATTGTTGCTCCACATATTTGCAATATTATTGCCAACTCGTCATGTTTTTTTATCAGCGTTGCCAACTCATCATTTTTTTTTTAATCAGTGTTGCCAACTCATCATGTTATAATACCATCTTATGTACTCTATATAGTGTTTGTAGTCTTCACTAGGGAAGACATAATTCTAGGAATATTTCATTTCAATACACATGGAAATGGAGATGTCATGGAAATATGTTGACATTTTAAACCATGTTTAGATAATCTCTTTAGCAGTTTCATTAGAACTTCTTGGAACCCATCTGCATGAACAGTTCAGCTTTCTTAACATGTAATAGTGAAGTTACTAGAGTGGATTATCACAAATGAGACTCAGCGGTTTAATGAAGTGAATCATCACCCAAGACTTATCCCAACTACATGGGATCAGCAACACGAATCCTGTTTCACCATTCCATTCTGTTTAATTCCATATCGATTGTTAAATTATGGGCACTTAGATCATTTCTAACTACTTTGACCCATGCCCATTTTGATCTACCCCTAGTGCTGCTTCTAGCCCCTTCAATTTGCAACAGATGAATTCTTCTTTCTAAAGGCATGTTCGTTCAAATTAGATGGGTTAGCAGATTGGCTAATAGCCTAGCAGATGGCTTGGCCAAACAAGGAGTAAAAAACAGCAAATGTATTGGGCACAGTTGTAATAGGGTGCTGGGTGTTTATGGTTTGTATTGGGTTTTTCTGGTTTTCACAACCTCTTGTTGTAACTTTGTTCTCTATTGATTAATAAATTCATCTGTGTCGCTGATAAAAAATATATATATATATATATATATTCTTACAGGTGTTTTGGTGGTCTTCTATGCATGTGATCAAACCATCTCAATCTACTTTCTCTCATTTTATCACCTATTGGATCTACTCCTAGGTTCTTTCAAATGACTTCATTTCTGACCCTCCATTTCAACGTACACATTTCTACCACACTGATTTTTTTTTTTTTTTGTAAATGTTGTTTCTTGACTACCCAACATTCTGCTCCAAACATGGCTGGCCTTACAACTGTTTTATAAAATTTAAATTTTCCTTTCAATGTAAGTGGTACTCATCTGACATCTATCACAAAAGACTCTGGATTCACCCCTCCATTTTGCCCATCCTGCTCTAATTCTATGGGCAAACATCCTCCTCTATCTCTCCCTTGTTATGAATTATCGAACCAAAGTACTGGAAAAGGTCACACTGCATTATCTCTTGATCTCCAATCCTAAGTGTACACAAATACTAAATTTTATTTTACTATGTTATTTTTTTGGTAAGTTATTTTACTATTGTTATTGCACTTTTCTATCTCTTTCGGGAGATGTCTAATCACTTTCTCTTGTACTTTCTTTTTATTTAATGAACTTTATTTTACTATAAAAAAAGTGGATGCAAAATACTAAAGAGACTAAAAGAGAATATACCCTACTATAGTGACATATGCTACGTATTTTAGTATATTCACCATGGAAGAAAGAAAGTGAGCAAGCATGATAAAAGACTCACTGGAGAACATGTGAGGCCATGAACAACTCAGGCTCCCCACCCCATACATATGGCTTCCTGATCTGCGAAACATATGTGTCGAAATCTCCCTCAATAAACCTGTATAGATTTTTTGTTGAAATGAGTTTTCACCCAGAATAATTTAGATATCTATGTAAAGGACAACATTCAGCTTCCTTGCACAAAATCAATGTGAGAGTTCTTGGCCAATAAAATCTCAGTTGTGAAGGTAGGTCCAGAAGCAAGACAGATAGCATAGCAATTTAACTTATCAATCACATAAGCAATTATTGCCTACAAGAGTAGAAGTTCATCAAATTTTGTAAAATGATATACAACTTAGAAAACTCACCATTCTGTCTCTTCTCGTCTTTTAACAAACTCATCAGCGACCTGCCAATGTTAGAAGATTTGCATGGTCAGTTAAAACATACCATATAGGAACTATTCAAAGTCAAGCATACAACAAAATAAAAGGTCAGGTTATTCAAAGACAAGTCAAAACTGCACACTGTTTGACACACATAGATTTCAGAAAGTGGAACACTCGTATACATAGTTAAATCACCTGTTTGGTAAATGCATAGTTATTCATGCCAACAAAAAAACTCTGTTGCATGAAGAGTCATTATCTTTGTTTGAAACCTCATTTGCATGTCTGAGTTACTGAACTCACCAAAATCAAGAGTATCTAGTGGGCATAAGACTTAGCGTATCTGTGGTGAGCTAGTGAGGGTCTTCTACATCGAGATATTGGTCATGGACACAAGCCAGTCTGAAGCTTTTGAGTTAGTATCCCTTTAAAGACAGGCTTTCCTGATGCAAAAGCAAGCAGTTGAGAAAATGCCTAAAAGTTGTTTCATTTAGAGGCATGTCTTGTCTTATGTTCAAAATGGCTTTGCAATTTTTTTTTTCAAATTATTAAAACCATTTGCTGTTTTTTTTTCTAATTAATAAAATTACTTTTTATCAATACTAATTAATAAAATTATTTTGCACCTTTTAGTAGATTGACTTGTTGAAGGAACTCAACCTATGCAAGACCAAAATTTAGATGATGCCAGATTCTTTATTCTTAAACTCAGATTATCTCTTAGTAGTTTTATGGTTTGCATCTTTTTCTTCTCAGAATCAATTCATTTGTACATTCACTAATTCCACTGATAGCTAACCTTGTGACGAGTGACAACACTAAAAGTAAGTCAAAACCTACTTGTCTCTAATGATAATACCTCTATAGTTGAGTGAGAAATATCGGTTCAGGTCCCTTTGCACATTTGGCAAAGACATTTTAAAGGAAGCAAGTCTGCACATGTTAATACCATAAACTTGGCCTAAAACCTTTCATCCAGTGATTGCCCATTTTCTGACCATGAAAAGTGTGAACTAATCCAACTTGTCATAATAATTGTAAAGGACATAAAGAAACATACTCTGGACCGCAACTCATCTGCTAATTCTCTCTGGACACTCTCACTTGGAGGTGGTTTTCCAGATTGAATACAAGCCCCATGAGCCACAGAGCGAAACAAGCATCTCCCATCTCCAGGAATAGCTGCATGATATAGAGTAATTGCTTATATTAAGAATAAATTTAATGGAAGTTGTCTTTAACATATTCCAAATAAAAAAAAATCTGCAAACCAAAACTATCAACTGATATATTTTTACATTTTAAAAAGAACTACATAGAGTTGAAATTCTTCACAAAGTACTGCTGCTCACCAGTTACATAATAATCCCTGTAAACTTTCTTTCCATGTGAAGAGTTGACCAAGGATGAGTCACAATCATCCTCATCCTTCTTCTTTGGTGCTTCAGCATATGCTGGTTTGGAACTTGAAAAGCAAACAAACAGTCCAAAAATCAGGCTTGCAGAAGCACCTCCCTGTAGCCTGGAGGCAGGTCTGACATTCCAACTGACTTTGGTACATGTTTCTCGTTTTGGTGTCAAAAGCCTCAAACTCATTTTTTGAGATGGCAATGAAATCCCAAGACATGTCACTTGATGCCCCATAGAAATCTCTAAGTTTTTCTCTGTTAATGGATGCCAGTTTCTCCTCTGTTTGGAGAAGCCGGAACCAAAACAACTTCCTCGGAATGTTAGAGAGCTAACAAGAGCTGAACAGGAAAATGTCTTGGAGATTGTCAGACGAGCATAACTCAGTTGAGATCGACTAGATTGGAAACGAAAACAGCATGAACTGGGTGGAGATTGAGACACCACATTAATGACTTGGCCACTCATTTGCTTCCCAACACATCCACTGAGGCAGAGTACGTTTTTTGTGCAAGTAATGACGGGAGAGAAATTTGTCATGTTCGCATAGCAGAAGGTACAAACACAATCTGTTTGGACCTAATCAGATTGGCCACCAACAAGCACTGCAAACGACAAACATGCCCCTTCGTATAAGTATTAAGTGGATAAGCTAACTAAACTGAATTTGTCACTTAAGATGACCAAGAGTCATATATTGAATTTTTTTTATTTACATATAATCCTTCTACAGCACTCTCTTCCCCTTCTTACTCTCTCCCTCTATCCCAAAAACCAAAAGTGTCACAAATTCCACTTTTGAAGTAATTTTTTTAGCAGTAACACAATGAAGGAAAAATTGTTAACAAGGAAAGAAAATGAGAAAGGAAAATATATCCCCTTCATTTGTAAACACAAATAAGGCGCCCAGATGTGTAACACCAAACAAATCGCACAAGAGCAGTGAAATCTATGCGGGGTTAAAGCCTTTACATCTACTATCCTGAATGACATCTACAAAATTGTGAATACACAGAGAAAGAAGGGAAATTGTTTTTCTACTAGAACTTCTATAGCAATTAGGCAATTGTACAACTAATCAGCCTAGCTTCAAGATAAAGGTATACATAAAGTACTGATAAAACAGACTCTAAAACATCAATTGTGAAATTAATAATCCTTTTTTGGTAGTGCGTTTAATGGTCCATCAAAACCAATGTGATTGTTCTGATGGTTAGGATCATCAAAATCACCAGATGGAGTGATGAACTCCCAAATGAACAGACAGAATTATTTGGTATGTTCTTTTCAGCATAAAGACACGGAGGCATAATTAAACATATTTTTTGACAGTATAATAAGCAAGTTTCAATTCTCATGAAAACGGAAACATGACAAAAGAAAAAAATGCATGTATAAATTAATAAAAAATGAATATTTTCAAATTTTCGCCCATGTTAAAATAATATAAAAATCTTAAGCATCCTATTAGGAAGTTAGCATTTTTACTAGCATTCATGAAATCCCAAGAACAATGCACAATTAATTGAAAGAATTCAAACAAAACTAGAGGAAAAAAATGAAAAAAAAGGAGATAAAACCTGTCGAGTCCAAATAATAACAGGGAAAATGGTGAGAAACAGAGCCGAAGCTACAAATTAAACGAGCTAAAACCCCAACAATGAAAGCACAAAAGATAGAGATCTACCACGAAAAGTTACAGATTCCAGAAAAGAAAGAACAGAGTTGAAGAAAGGAATACCTCAATCTTACAGTTCTCCTTGACGATTCGAAAACCAAATGACCACAGAAGAAAGCTTCTTATTGTCCCTCTTGGTTTGGGATTCTCGAGCAAGTCTTTTTCTCTGTTTCGTGCTTCGAGTTGTTTTGCTAAAGAAGATAGATAGTAGATTCAGGTGGGCTTCAGGTATGCTTCCTCGTTCGGAATTCCCCTGTACCGCTGTACGCGTCGTGGGCGTGTGATGGACTCGAATTAGGTAAGTATCGGTATCGGTATCGGTATCGGTATCGGTATCGGTATCGGTATCGGTATCGGTGAATTTCCTTCGAGGTTTCTCGAGTGGACGTTAGCTGGCTGGTCAATGAGTCGAAGTCTGCTCCTTATGAGCCGCTCCTCACTCCGACCTTAGAGAATGTGTTGGTCGCACATTGGGAATATCTCCCGTATTTGTGTTTAATATCCAGAGATGTTTCGAATACATGGTGCGATGTAGCTGTGAGATCGGTGTGAATAGCGCTATCTGAGGAGTAGAATCCAATTGTTGGCAATGTACTTAAAACCCAATTCAGACCTGTGTTGACTCGATGAATAGAGCCGTGGGCTACAAACACGTTCCAACATCCAACACCGCACATCATACAGGATCCAATTTTATAGTAGGTCCTGTCTCATGGTGATATGTGCAGTGCAGTATCAGATCATATTGGTTGGGTGTTGGAACATGGTGTTTTGTTGATAGGAGATTTTAAATCTATAGTCTCACCCAACATCACACCACGTGGAGCCCCACATCTAGAACATTTTCATAATTGTAACTGGTAAGTTATTATTCGTCGGGGAGATGTTTCCCAGCGTAATGTGAGATTGGTGTAAGGTGCACTCTGCGGAATAAATCCAAATTTATGGACTATCGAGATAAGGCCATCCAAATTTATGGACTATCGAGATAAGACCTGTGAGGAATGCTTAACTTGTTTCTATGAACTCAGTTTTGGTCAATGCTAGGCCCATTCAAACAACCTTTATAGCCTTGTGTTAGGAATATCTTCCCAAGAAACAAAATACATAGGTATGGAGATATTCCTAATGCAAGGTTGTAAAGGTTGTTTGAACAAGCTTTGCACTGACTGAAACTAATCTTTGTTCCTATGACCATGATTGCATGCAGCACCCAATGAAATGTAAACACGCCAATATCCACATCATGCAACCAAAGTTGGAGGAAATGTTTTCCCAATTCGAAAAAAGTTGCACATGTTTGTGTGTTGTTTTTCTATTCTTCCATTCTGATGAATAGCAAATTGGTAATGTTGATCCCAATCCGTTTGATCCACCCAATCCACTCATTCCAAAAGCCAGTCATTATTGGTGAAATTCATTAATCATTAGTCAGGGTGGGATTGGGACCATTGGGTGGATCAAAGTCGATTGGATCGAGGAAAAGATCAAAACAATCAAATGAAAATTCCTCTCTGTTTCGGTCGCCAAATCACCATTAAAGCTGTTAGGGTTTCTCTATTCCGCCATCGTAGCAAGCTTCAACACCATTGTTTCTTATTGGCATCCCCTTAAGCACAGCAATCACTTTTGCTGCAACCACTCTTGGCCAATCTAACCCCCCTCCCCTTTCCTCCGTTTCTCATCGATGTTGCTGCCGAGTTTCTGGACATGGATTCTGTAATTCTTTTTCCCTATTTCTACTCTCAAGATTGATGACAATAGCCTCTGGGCAATGATCCTACTAAAATAGCTCCCCTCTAGACTTCAAGCAAAAACCGCTGGCTTTGAATTTTTGTCTCGGACGCAAGATCGAAATATGGATATAAAAGCTATTTTGTCACGGGCCACCGAAACACTATATATGTGGAGTAAGAACATGGTCACTTATTAGGTAGGCACACACTAGTGAATATTGGGTAAATACTTAGGGTCAGTTTGGTTTGCAGTTGGAATGGGAATTGAAATCTTCCAGAATCAGAATTGAAATGATTTATTCCTATAGTCTGTTTGGTTCAGACAAGAATGAAAATGAAAATTGAAATTAGTAGGAATAAAATTTCATTCCTAAAGGAAGGACAGGAAAGGACCATTCCATTAAATGGGAGAATGCTATTCCAGCAAAAATGGAAATAAGATTCTAATTTCATCCAACCAAACAGTTAGAATGGGAATAGCCCATTCTAATTCCATTCCAAACCCCTATTCAAACAAATCAAACGGGCCCTAGAATTTTTTTTTTACACTTATCCCTTGAAATACCCCCAGCCTATACCCTTAAAAAGAGATTAAAAACAACTTTTAATACAATTGTTCGAATATTTATTATTAATTTACATCTGCGCCCAACTGTGTGTATCTGAAACATCTCCTGAAGTCATGTAGGGCATTTGTGGGGCGCAGAATGTGTTACACAAGCTTTGCTATGGTTTCCATCCCTACCTATTTGATGACTAGGTATGTGGAAATCAAGGCTGTGTTTGTTTTCAGACAAAACGCTGTGTTTGATTTCCACATAGGCTGTGGAAATCAAGGCTGTGTAACACAAGCTTTGCTATGATTTCCACAAATCATGTAGGGATGGAAATCAAACACAGCCTTCCACATGTCTGAGAAATTCAAACCTATCTATCAGGTTTGAGGATTTAAATAAATCTTCAAAATGGTTGACCAGAATTTTACTAATTCGATCTTGCCCTAATACTCAGATCCCATTGGTGTCCTTGAGGGTGACGATTCTATTTTTAGCCCTTCTTAGGGTTGCCTTGTGAAAATATTTAGTATTTCCTTCGGTCATTTGAGATTTTCAAACTCCCTCCCATTTTCTCCTCTTCTCCATTGAGCATCTCACCGGAGACCTCACTGCAAACCGGCGTTCGTGACGTGAAATCTACCGGCGGTAACAAGGAATCAACCGCCAGGCCCAACCAAAAACATCTTGTTCTTGATCAGACACCACACCCCAATAAATTGATCACAACTTTCTTGTTGGATCACATCATCATTTATTCTACCCACGAATAGTTCTAATTCAAAATTGAAATAAAATCCACTATGACCGAAGAAAAACATGTTTCAACGATTGTAGTTTTACAATATGGAGAGAGAGAGAGAGAGAGAGATATGGAACTTTGTTTATGTGAAATATGTAAAATGAATCTATTGATGACTAGTATTCAAGAGAATCTGAATGATATGTACATGTATCAAACAAATTAAAATGAAATTTTACAAAAATGTAAAGAGGTTCAAATTAAGAATGCTTTGAAAGCTACCTTCCTCCTTTCAGACTCTCGCATCGGCTCAAGCTTCGGTTTCCATCGCCGAGCTCGAGACCAACAAGCTGCGTATAATCCTTCTGCAATTGAGGCGTAGTGCAGACTCTATTTTTGGATTTGTTATGATTATCGTCCTCTCCTTGGTCGCCTTTTATCCTCCCCCTAACTCATCCATACTCGAATCTGAAGAGATCCGGATGGAGTTTTATGATATCGAAAAGTTGACAATTTGCAGCCTTCTTCAAAAACTCGTGCTTAGAGATATTACACGATGAAGAGGATTGAGACGGGAAGGGAAAGAATGAAGCAACAGTAACAAAGGATAGGACGGATTGAAAAGAAATGTTTTGGAAGGAGAAGTGTACTTGTGGCCAAGCTTGAGCTCAGCGTTCTCGGAGAGAGTCAGAATCTTCTGACCTATGTAGAAGGAATCAGAGTGGTAGACAACGTGTTTTGAGAACTCAAGCATGAGCTCGGAAGCGTTGATGGGTCGGTGGTAGATCTTGACGAGGCCGTCTGACTTGATGAGCTTGATGGTCTCGACCGGTGTTTCGGACGGGAGCTGCACGCAGGAGATGTAGTTCCCCATCAAATGAAAGCACAAGGGATCATGTGGAAGTTGAAGAACTTAATGCCCATGATCTCATAAGCCTTGAAGGCCAGACGCCCAGAGGAGGAAGAGAGAGGAAGGTAGAACCGTAGAAGCGCAAACCAAGACCCACAAAAGAAATGTCTTCCCCTTTGGTTTTGGGTTGAAGAAGAAAAGGCAGAGGGATGGAGTCTAGTTTGGGGAGGGGGAGTTCGAAAATTTATCGCCGACGGTAGATTTCACATTCACAAATGCCGATTTTACGTCGCCGGTGGGAGATGCTTATTGATTGGGGCTCGGTGGATGAGAGGAGAAAATGGGTGGGAGCTCAAAAATCCCAAATGACAGAAAGAAGTGTGATTTTGTTCTTTTGTGTGCGGCTCAACCGGATTTCTTCGGCTAATGTGTGAATTCCCGTTAACATTTGTGCCTTTGTATATTGCCGACGTGTTCATTTCTTATTGGTGGGTTCACGCTTCCCCAGGATGTGAACTCCAATTTTTGCGTACTGTGTGTAATGATAATTCAAAGCTTAAACCGTGACCGAATGGAAAACTCCTAAGGTTGTGTTTACATGCAGTGAAATTTTATTTGCACTAGTATAAATGCATGAGATTGCAAATGAAATAAATATAAATTCTAGTTTAATTTTATTTTGCTTCATGTCTTAATTTACTTCATTTATACTGCAATCGAATAAAATAAACTAAAGTTTAAAATAAAAATAGGTCAAAATTTATATCATTTTCACTGTCATAATTTTGCATTAATAAAAATTTATTTGTATTGCAACCAAACACAGCCTAAAATACATAAAATACAATTTTCCCTTTTTCTATTTTTTTTTTGAGGGTGGGGGAGGGGGAGGAGAGGGTAGACAAATGGACGGTTGGAAATGGAGAAAAGATTTTCTTCTAGTTAGACAATTGGGCTGTAAAATGTAAATGAATCACTTATTAACAGAATTCCCGAAAACCAGAGTCGGAATAGAAATTTGAACCTCAAACTCAAATGTAGACACAAGCAGATTAGTGGCAATCCCCATCCATACAAAGAAAGAAGAATTTCTATTCCGACTGTAGAATTGTAACAAACCTCGAGCAAAATCAACTATGCAAACTATAGCATTGAGAAAAATATGCAGAATTAAAAAATTTCTTTGGTTTTTCCTTATTAAAAATTACCAATAAAAAATTATCTAGTCAATAAAAGAATAGACTTAAACCCTGAATGTTCTATTTGTGGGCAAGGTGAAGGGAATCGTCATCCAAGTTTTATCGCAACTATATGGGGTTGGCTACATAAATCCTGTTTTCCCCCATTCTGCTCTGTTTAATGACATTTTATTACATGGGGTTTGCTACATAAATCCTGTTTTCCTCATTCTGATCTGTTTAATAACATATTTTATTACATGTCCCCTTTTTGTAAATGCAATTTGAACAAGCATAGTTTCTGCAGGGTGTGTCGTGTACTTCACACATGAAAAAAAGAAAGCTTACATATTAATGATATAAAAAAGATGAGAAAAAAATAATCGTGCCCTTTTCTTACATTTTACAATAGTGCTCCCAAGCCCCATAATATAAGGCTGTGTTTGATTTCCATCCCTACCTTTCCTTTCCTTTCCTTTCTACACATTTTCTTTTAGACAAACACAGCCTGAGGAAAAATAGGAAAGATAGGGATCAGCCTATAGAATCTCCAGACTTGAAAAAATTTGGTAAATCCTCAACGAATTCTACCTTGGACCACACAAATAAAATGAAACAATACTTCAAGGGCACTCAGTTAAGAGTGTCAATGGACCAGTTTTGGATTGGACCCTGTCCAGTCCAAAATCAATTTAGACAAATTGGATGGACCAACAAAACATATTGGATTGGACCAATCCAGTCCAAAATATTTATTAGATTGGATTGGACCTGATTCATCCATAACAAATTTATATTGGATTGGGTTGGATTAAGCCAATACCTAATCCATTGATATAAGAATATATGTGCCAATGAACCAAGTTTGGGTTGAAACCAATCTAAATCAAAATGAATTTGAACAGATTGGACGGTCGAGACATTGAATTGGACCGGTCCAAATTGATCCAAAACATTCATTAAATTGGATTGGACCTCCATTTATAATGAACTCACATTGGACAGGATCAGATTGGACAAAATCCAGTCCAATTGACACCCCTACACTCAGCCTACCCAGGACACCATAGCTGTGCGGTGGGGATATCTCCCTTATACGTCAAGGGTGGGGGAGAATCAATCAAATAACCATCAACGAAAAATATGGGAGACCATCGGTAGGAAATCCCCTTTCACCGTGGAAGCTACCGTAAAACATCTACCCCCACAAAATCCCAACACAAAATTGCAATCTTGCATGTTGCATCTGCAACATTTATGAAATTTGTCATCCATAATATCCTTCAAATGAATAATTGAAGCCTGCAAAAAAAGTTCAGTTTTGTTTTAGTAAAACTAAGCAAAATACCACAGACTATTTAAAGCTTGTTTTTAGTTTTAACATATGTTCTCTCTTGAGAAAGGAAAGTAAGAAATTCATCCAAAAAGATATCCTTTGCTCAGCCTGCAAATTAATCAAATGTCGTATAGAAATGCCTAATTACAGATGTCGTTTCCGGTTTCCCACATTCATTATTCAACAAATAAAGTTGTTAAGATGGTAAGACTCGATATTTACATTAAAGTTAAGTTATATCAGTTAAACTCTCCAGTATCAAACTCTACTCCTCTGTTCTAGCCCAAGTTCCAACCTGTCAAACGACAGAAGTGCACCTTTCTGATAAAACCCTTGACATCGTGCAAAGACCATATTGTCGCAATGTAATGTTAACGTGGCATGCAAGGACCATTGCTCAAACAAACTGATCAGATGACATGTTTGACATGGGAGTCTAGCTTTCCAAGGGAAAAGTCAATGAAACACTTCTTGTCAGACTCCAACAACACTTCTGTTGAATGTTGATCCAAAAGAACAGATAATGTATCAATTATGAAATGGAATGAACTAGTTCATCAGTTCATTTTCTCTGTATGAACATAAAGATCAGGCGAATTAAATGTCAGGTCACCCCCTGCTCTGCAAGTACAGATGAACCGACATGAGATGTCAGACAACACTTGCTTTGTTACCCATCGTTTAGGTGCCCCAGATTCTGTAAAGAAAGAGAACATTGTATTCTGTCGCTTAGGAGGGAGGAGGATAATACTAAAACATTTGAATACAAAAATATCTAACATCAATTTATTTATCTAATTATCTAGCTGATTTTTTCAATTATAACTGAAAATGATAGATTGGTTCAGTAATTCTTGAAGGTCTATTCACCTTCAAGTTTTTATGGAAGCAGCATCTCATAGTTACCAAATTACTTACCTGCTGCAACAGACTTAAATGTTAGGAAAAGATACAATTTAGCCGAGACAAAACTACTGTGATGAAAGCACCAGTTCCTGAAATACCCTCCCCCTATGTTCAAAATTGCTAAATTCGTCAAAGCTTGCACAACCCGGACTTAATATGACTGTATCCCCTGCATTCACAGGAAGTTAAGAATTGATTAAATTTAGAAAAAACAATGAACGGCAGTCAGCAGTTAAGTCATTTTACATAGATGAAATATGATCAATTTCCAACATGTCCAAAAATGAGTAGCTGAAATGTGGATGCTGATATGGATGAGTGAAAAAACTAGAAAGCATAGGATCAGAAAGTAGACTACCCGCACAGAAGCATCTACAGTACTCGTAAGAAGAAGCAATCTGTTGCAAGATGAAGGGACTAGAGGCTAGGAGCAGACCAAAAATGACATGGGCCGAAAGTATGAAATAATTTAAGCCCTCATAATTTAACAATGGATATGGTATTATACAGAACAGAATGGTCAAACAGGATTTATGTAGTCAACCCCATAAAATTGGGGTAAGGCTTAGATGAAGATGATATAAGGTTAGTTCTAAGAAAACCCTAGCTTTTCCAGGTCAAGCAGCTTTTGTACCCATTGCACTTCTGCACCATAACATCTTGCAAGTTAACCTATAAGTATGGTTGCAAAAAGACCATGACAGAAAATCAAGGATGTGCTTATCCTTCACAAAAGAACCAATGGGAAAAAAATTGAAAAAATGACAGAATTGAAATATCAACTTAATCATCATGAATCACAAAATTAACTGACGCACAAACAACCAGTGAGGCTGAAGGTCATATCTCAATTTGCATCTACAATTGAGTCACTGATCTCAGCAGAAACAGACCAGGATCACAACCAATCCCTCCTTCGAACATAATGTTGGGCTCCAGTTGCTTAAAGCACTTTTTGAACAGGGTTAGCACATAGGTAACTGAAATCATACCCTTCCAAGGTTTGGAGATATATCAGTCTCTCATAGATAACATAAAACAAAACTACATATCATTATTTGCAAAATGTGCATGACTAACCAACCTAGTGAACATGTTTACAGTAAGCAACTAATAAGTTTATCTCCATGCCAAATCTGTTATTAAAACAATGTCATCAATGTAAAATGGTGACAAAGCATCTTAGTCCCTACCTTTAATCTAGTATCCCTAGGAATATAAGGATGTATCCATAAGGAACAAGGGGGAGATAAAACAAATCATGGTTAATTGTCATTTCATCAGATAGATCTTGCACCTAATGAATTCCACCTCTTATAAAAGTTTGGGAAACCAACATGCAGATTTACTTTTAATCCATTCTTCAATATCACATGCAAAGGCCCCATATATTTAAGGTATATATAGCTTTTAGATTTTGTATGTGTATCCACAATCTTTTGCAATACTATTTGATGCATATATAGCTTTTTCCTGTTGCAGATTTTTGGCATGGAAAGAAGACAAACCAAGTCTTGCAACATTCCTTGCAACGTTCACAGCATCCTCTAGATTTGTAGCTTTAATACAAGGAATGCTAAGTCCAGCAGCCCATAATGTCTTCTGAATCATTGATCCTGAAGAGCCAAACTAAGACAAAGATCCAAAAATATTATTGCAAGTTTATCCAGGAAAGATGCATGAAAGTAGAAAGTACAAATCACAAATTTTGACATGGAAAATAACTTCAGGAACATCAACAGACATGTATCAGTGTTACATAATCACATCTAAGATCCTGTGCAAGAACGGAAGGATCACTTACAGTGATGACACATCTGTGGTACTTGAGAGGGTCTACAAGCCGTTCAAAACCACAAGATCCTTGTATATCCAGGACCTGCAAAGCAAGACAATTCATAAGAAAAATGACTGTGATTGCAGGAAGCTGATGTGGCTTAAAATGCCAAATAAATGATGCCACCAACCTAGTTATAACTTATAAATGCTATGAAATATCAAACGGGTACTAATTAACCTCTTGCCGGATGTCAAGTACATGTGCTATCAGTGTTTTAAAAGGTGTGGGAGGCGCACGCCTGGAGGCACGCCTCCAGGCTAGGCGCTCCCAAAACACCCAGAGGTACTGACACCTCAGGTGTATGCCTCAGGTGCAAGAGGCGTACACCTCATGCGCTTTTTTCATGAGGCGTGCTAGAGGCGTACACCTCATGCACATCTTATATAAAAAGGCAGAAAAAAAAAAGAAAAAAAGAAAAAAAAGGAAAGGAAAGGAAAGGAAAGGAAAGGAAAGGAAAAGAAAAGAAAGGGAAGGGGAAGAAAAGGAAAGGAAAGAGAAGAAAAAAAGAGAAAAGGAAAGAAAGGAAAAGAGAAGGGAAGGGAAGAAAAGATAAGGGGAAAGAAAGTGGTTTGCCCCTTTTCGATGCAGCCCAATTTGTTTTTTTGAGTTCGCTTCGCTTGCTCGCTCGCCTCCGCTTCGACAAGACCCCACTTTCAACTAATGTTATGCATCTTTATTCTTCTTAATATAAAAGATTTTTATTAAAAATAAAGAAAAAAGTGAGATCCCCCCTTCCTCTTCATCCTCCTAACCCCCCTCCTCTTAAGTTGTGTTCGGGAGGCTTATGCCTCTTGCATTCTGAACTACGCCTCACACCTCTAGGTAGTGGAACACCTCAAGTCACGCCTCCGCGTTTTAAAACGTTCACTATCTGTTTCTGTGGCCATGTTGCACATGAAAGACATGCTATATCTGTTTCTATGGCCATTGGTCTACTGCATCTAACATGTGAAAATGGACACATATATGGGAACTAAGCAAATTGAACACATGGTATACTCAACCTTCAACTCAACAAAACCCACATACCAACCATATAAGTTGGCTAAATGCATCCTGTTTCTCCATTCCACTAATTAAGGGCCATATTCATTGTTAAATTTTTAGCTTCCAAATCATTTCTCACTACCTCAACTAATGCCCCTTTAGCCTGTCCCTAGTTATTATAGACCTTTCAACTTGCATTAGATCACATTTTAATATTACAGTAGTCCCACAAACATGCCAGACCATTTTATCTACTTTCCATCATGCTATTACCTATTCCAAGGTGCTATATCTAGATTCCCACAAATAGGCTCATTTCTTATCCTATTCTTTCTGGTTTTGCCACTCACCCATCTCAACATTCACATCTCCATGTATAAGCTAAATTGTGGATAGATATAAGAAAGCATCTGCATATTTACGATGTGGGTAAGAAGCAATAGCCACTACAGATCAATATGCGCTTTTGAGACCAAAACTAGAAAAATTTATAAAGTACTTTATACATCATGCATTGTACTGTAGCATACAACTCTTAAAATATCAGAGTAATTCATGGTTATCTTGTAAAATTTGATCCTAAAAGAATCTTTAAGTGAAGAAATTAGGATAACAGAGTTGTATTTAATTTTTAAGAATGTCCATCCTACATGACGATAATTAGATATTCCCATCAATTCCCATTTTGTGATATCTAGCAGGTTATATTTTTAGGTTTTGAGGTTAACATAAATAAAAAAACACCTTTTTAACATTTTCCAAAGCTTCACAAATAAATTTCATGTTCTTTCTAACATTTCATTGTTTTTCTAATTTTCCCAGACTTTCCAAATATCTGAACAAAATTTCCCCAAAATTCTGCCATTTGCACATGGTGAAATGCTTAATGAAACCTAAAGAGGGATATAAATTTAGATGACAGATTATGGCATCAAATACAATATATCAATTTGTCCTTTATAAATGTATTATCAAATTGAGGAGCTTGATAAGAAAGAAGCTTTTAGATCTATGAGCAGTGAGGAAAGAGAGGAAAGGTGGAAATTAAAATGTGAGTTAGAACTAGAAGAAGTCCTTAGGAAGGAAGAGATTTCATGGAGGCAAAAATCTAGATGCAAGTGGCTGTTGGAGGGGGATGGAAATACTAAATTTTTTCACTCCGTAGCAAATGGGAGAAGAAGGAAAAATCAAATTGTCAAGCTAGAAGTGAATGGACAGGAGATAACCGGGGAGGAGGAGATTATAAAGGTGTTTGTGCACCATTTTAAGAGGATTTTCCAAAATCAAGGTGAGAGAAGTTTTTCTCCCCCAGATGTTCAATGGTTTCGAGTGCCTGAAGATAAGGTGGCAACCTTAGAAAGGGAGTTTTCTTCAAAAGAAATAAGAGAGGCAGTTTTCTCAATGGAGAGGTCTAAAGCTCCTGGTCCGTATGGTTTCACTTTAGCGTTTTATCAGGAGTTTTGGGACCTTATCAAAGGATATTTGATGGAAGTTTTCAACGAGTTTTACACATAAGGGGAAATCTCTGAAGGTATAAATTCAACTTTCATCACCCTCATCCCAAAAAAGAAGGAAGCAAAAGCTCCAAAGGACTTCAGACCAATAAGTTTAGTGGGGAGCCTCTATAAGAGCATTGCAAAGGTTCTTGCTAGGAGACTTAAAAAGGTACTACCTTTGGTGGTCTCACAACAGCAAGGTGCCTTTGTTAAAGGGAGACAGATCATTGGCCAGGTGTTAGTAGCAAATGAATGTGTATCAGAGAAGAGGAGGAAAGGGAGGGGTGTGGTCTACAAGTTGGATTTAGAGAAGGCTTATGACTTTGTGGACTGGTCTTTTCTTCTAGAAATTATGGGGAAAATAGGGCTAGGGGATCGGTGGAGAATGTGGATGAAGGGATGCCTTAGTTCAGTGCAGTATTCAATCATGATCAATGGTGCGGCTAGAGACTACTTTCCAGCAAAAAGAGGTTTGAGACAAGGGATCCCCTTTCACCATTTATGTTCACTTTAATTGTCGATGTCCTAAGTAGGATGGTTATGGAGGCTGATCAGAGAAATCTATTTAGAGGAATGGAGAATTGGAAGACTTGGGTTGGTAGTCACACATTTGCAATTTGCAAATGACAACATTCTATTTTGTGAGGAAGGAAACCAGGAGAGCATAAGAAATCTACGTGAGCTTATCACTTCCTTTGAATCAATTTCTAGACTAAAGGTAAATTGGGGGAAAAGTTGCATAGTAGGGATTAACTTGGAAGATGAAAGTTTGAGAAGACTAGCAGAGATCCTAGGGTGTGAACTGTGAAGTCAAAAATTGGCCATTGGAGTGCTTAGGGTTACCATTGAAAGGGAATCCAAGATCTAAGATTTTTGGAAGCCAATGGTGGAGAGGTTTACAAGGAAGCTGGCACTTTGGAAGAGAAACTATTTATCCATAGGTGGAAAAATAACCTTGACTAGAGCAACCCTAGCAAACCTACCAACCTATTTCCTTTCAACCTTTAGAATCTCTGATAGAGTGGCAGAACTCTTAGAAAAACTCACGAGGGACTTTCTTTGGGTGCCTAGGGAGGAAAAGAGGGATCATCTAGTGAAGTGGGAACAAGTCTGCAAGACAAAGGAGAAGGAAGGCTTAGGACTAGGGAACCTAGTATACAGGAATACTTCCCTACTAGGAAAATGGCTTTGGAGGATAGGTTGTGGCATAAGGTGATAGAAAGCATTCATGGGGGCTGATGAACAATGGCTAGGATGCAAAGTTAGACCCTACATTTTCCCCGAGCTCTCCGTGGAAAGCAATACAAGAGGTATATCCTATTTTTCTCAATCTAATAAGATTTGATGTGGGTTGTGACTCTAGGGTGCTTTTTTGGGAATATCTTTGGCTGGGTGGTGCTCTTTTCTGCTTCATTTTCACAGATCTATATTCAGTCTCTAACTATAAGTTAAAACCCATCTCAAACTTTGTCACTTTTCTCATTCCGGATTGAGTTGGGATTTTGGTTTCAAAAGAGGTTTGGGGGACAATGAGTGTGTCTCTAAAATGCTTGCTTGATACTCTCAAATCAGTTTTCTTTGTTCAATCCTTGGAGGACACTTGAGTTTGGTCTGCTTCTTCTAATGGCACCTTTACCTGTGACTTTCTTTAATACTCTTGTTCAAACTACTGTTGGGGATGATAATTTCCCGATGAAAGAGATTTGGAGCAAGCCCATTCCACCAAAAATTCAAGCTTTGTGTTGGGAGGTGTTTTTAGGGAAGGTAAATACTTGTGACATGCTTCAAAAAAGGAGGCCAAATAAATGCCTCTCCCCTCATATGTGCTCTCTTTGCTTTGCAGATGGTGAACCCCTACCCCATTTATTGATCCATTGCTCCTTTGTTTTGTTTGTTTGGGAATCTCTTTGCTCTCTCTTTGGTTGCAGGTGGAGGGCTCCCCATAAATGTAATAAGCCTCTTTGATCCAAACTTTCTAAGGCAGCCAACAAAAAGGAGGGTGATATGGAAATCAGCAAGGGCAACAGTGGTGTGGACAATATGGGAGGAAAGGAATGCGAGAATCTTCAATGAAAAGCATAGGCCAAAAGAGGCCATTGTGGAGGCCATGAAGATAAAAGTTGCACATTGGGTGAAATCACTCCAGTTCTTCCAAAACATTTCAATTACAGATATTGTAAGAGCTTGGAATGAAGTGGCGTACATGCAGAGGTGAAGGAAAGAAAAGTGATGGAGTGGAAGCTGTCAGGTCCCTATAAGCTGAAGCTGAACTATGATGGGAGCTCTATAGGAAATCCGGGTATGGCAGGCATTGGTGGTGTGATCAGAGACTCCTCAAACAAAGTGTTGGCTATGTACTCAAGACCTTTAGGGGAAGGTGACTCTTTAAAAGCTAAACTGTTAGCTCTACTTCAAGGGCTAAAGATCGCCAAGCAAACTGATTTTAAGAACTTGGAAAGTTGGAAATAGAAGGGGATTCAAAAACAGTGATATCTTGGACCAATTCAAGCAGTAATGTTCCTTGGTACTACAGACATCAGCTAAGGGAGATAGTAA